CACAACTTTCTACTTGAATAACAGAAGAAACTTTAAATAAAAATTTTATTTATGTCAAAGTCAAGGAGATTTTATGTTTCCCTAAGAGCAAGTGCAACTAACTGATATGCATATGTATACTGAAGAGGTTCTTTTTTAAAAAAAATGCATCTATTAGGTTTTTAAAATTTATGTCCTCATTGACTAGGTTTTCATTCAGGAGTAATCTGCATTTCTGATTTTCAGAAGTAGTAAAGTCAATTATTTAAATTCCTCTACTATCTAGTTCCCATCAAGTAGTAAACAGACAATAGTAATCTGTCACATTGAACTTTACTGTAAATTCACATTTTACATCTAGGTTTTCTTGAAGTAAGAATATACTAACACTTTTCAATGTATTTATGCAATAAAAATTACTGAGCATCTGGTCTGTGCAAACTCATCTCTGTCTCTGAGAGAGTCAAGCACTTTTGGAGGAGGATGGGGTACAGTGGCCAGCTATTAAACTTTTATTTGAGGATACTTACCTATCAGCTTTTCCTGCCTAGATTCTATCAAGCTCTCCATTAATCATTCAATATTTATTGATTGATAGGGCAATTATATAATCGATCATTTAAAATAGAATACGTTCATTAGTATAAAAGGAAGTACTTGTAATAATGACTTCTGGACAACTGGCATAAACCAGGACTCCAGGTTATATGGACACCAGGCACACCAGTTTATATGGACATCCTACTTGTTGAACACTTTCCGTGTAACTATCCTTTATGCTGGTTGCTGGAGATGCAGAGATTAAATCATTTTGGCATCTTCAATCTACCGGGGAGGCAAATATAATAGTTATAAATGCCATAATGGAGGTATAATGGGAGCGTTCAATCTCCCTCAAGGGAGTCAGTGGAGGCCTTCCAGAGGAGATCAAGCAGAATCTGCGTTTCCAAATGATGAGTTCACTCTGCAGACTGAGGCCTGGCAGGGCATCCTAGCATGTGCAGAGGCACAGAGGCATAAAAAAACACTCACTGGGAGTTGCTAATGTTCTTAAACTGGGTGGTGGGAGTATGACTGGCTTTTATTATTCTTTAAACCATAAATTGGCTAGGCATTCTCTTCAATGTATGGGGCTAATTACCTATTTACATATAAAGCTGGCTGGGAAAAAGCTCATGAATCATGGAAGAGAAACAAATGGCATGTTAAACATGGGGGGAAAGAACAGAGTGTTCGGAAGAAACCAGAATTGATAAGAACTATGATGATGGAGAGGAAACTGGAAGAGCAAGACTAGAAGGCCACATTATGGAGGGCTTTGAAAACAGCATTTGGCCCTTTGTCTTGTATGCAAGAGACTTAACCAGGGAAGTCACGTGACCAGATCTACATTTTGGGTAGGTAACTTTAGTCGCGGAGCGAAAAGAAAATTGGAAGTAAAAGATCTGTTGGAAATGTGAAGGTTTGGGCAACAGCTCCAATTATGGGGAAGGGGGAAAGGATTTAAAAGATTTCACTGTGGAAGTGAAAGAACTTGGTTATCACTTGGGAATTATATTCTTACAGAGAGTTTTGACTCTACCAATGATAGCTCTTCAATCTCTAACAAAGACACTTAACATCACTGAACTTTGGTTTCCTCATGTGTGAAATGGGGCTGAAGATAAATTTAAAAAACACTCCCAAAATAGTTTTGAGAATAAGAGACTGTGAACGTGCTTTTTTGTTTTTAGTATGTATTGAGTACTTACTCTCTACCCTACACACTAAGCACATACAATGACATCCAGAGAGAATGAGAATCAGTGCCCTCTGGGAGCTTACAGGGTGTGGTAGTGGTGATTTCTGCAGGGATCTAAGGAAGTGCCCATTTGGACACTGGCAAGGGAAAGCCTTTCTGAGGACACAGCTCTGTTTATCAGTTCTGATCTCTTACTACCTACTGGTTATGGTCTCAGGCCTGCCACCCACATTCTGAGTGGATCCCATCTGGTTGTTTAGCCAATAACCATTGTCCTTACCAGTCAGAATCTCTTAGGCAGACCACCTCTAGTCCTTGGCCAGTCTGAGTCAAGGCCCACCCCAGTCCAGTGATTCCACCTGCACAGAAAACAGCCTAAGCTGAGTAGAGGGCTGTGGGTGAGGCAGTGTGAGCTGAAAATGAAGTTGGTCGGCACAGTTGGCATGGTTGGCATACTTAGGAGTATAGGAAATACCTTTCATACATATGAAATCTTGAGGCAAGAGGGCAAAGCTCATCCCAAGGGGACAGTTTCCCATTCAGGGAGCCTTGAGCCATCCTGGCACTGGAGGATAAACTCCAGGTTTAGAAATGCCATCTTCAAATTGGCAACACATTCTTTGAAAAAGTAGACGGTGCGCATCCCAGAGAGGCCTCAGGAAACTACATGACTCGCTCTCCTCCAGCTCCTATAGAAGCCACAATCCAGTGTGACTGAGCAGGATTTCTATGTGAACAAAAACCACTTGGGGTACTGTTTAAATTATGTTTTACTATTTTAAAAATGTTTTATTGAGAGAGAGACAGAGAGAAAGAGAGAGATCAATTTGTTGTTCCACTTATGCATTCACTGGTTGACTCTTGTATGTGCCCTGACTGGGGATCAAACCTGCAACGTTGGCATATTGGGGTGATGCCCTAACCAACTGAGCTACCTGGCCAGGGCTGGGGTACCTGTTTAAAATGCAAATTCCTGGGTTCTACTCCAGGCCATGAATCAGAATCTCTGGATATGAGACCCTGCATTTTGTCACACTCAACAAATGATTTGTATGCTAGAGCAGTAACAGCTTTACGTAGCTTGAGAGGTGCGTGTGGATCTGAGCCATATTCTAGCCCCTACGTCCCTAGTACCCCCAGGGTACTCTCAGGGAAGGTGGGACACAGTCCATTCTGTACTCGGGCTAAAAGGATGTATTTGCAAATACATTCCCTCTTTTGCAAGAAGCTTCTGTTTTGGCTCGTCACTGAAAAAACATCAGACTCAAAACAGAATTCAGTTACTCACTATTAGTTGGGTGACTCAGGACAAGTTACTTAAAATTTTTAAACTATGATTTCTCAGTTTAAAAAATATGGGTAATACCTGACTTGAAGAATAGAAATACATATAGAATATGCCCATGGAAGTGCCTGGCACATAGTAGACACTCAGTAAGTGGAAGCTAATTTTGTCACCACAGTCTAAAGTTGCCTTAATTCCTTCTCTGGGCCTGCAACATATTTCTCCTCTGGACGGCAGCAACTGCGTACTGAGCACCTTTAGACCAACAGGAGGGAAAGAATTTTAGAGTGGGAAAGGATCTATGATTTAGTAATTCAAAATTTCATTTCAGAGGTGATGAAACACGGATCCAGCAACAGCTAGCTAGTGATAATTCTAAGATTATCACTGGGAGATCACAGATTTTGTTTAAAATGATTTTACTCTTGGTTTTGTTTGGGAGACAAATGTTTCTGAGCATAAAAAGTAGCTCTGAGAATGGCTGTCAAAAAGGATGCTTGTTGTTTTCATACTTTATATTTTAGGCGGTAAAACTTATTTTCATCCTCTTCCTTTATGTATATTAATCAAACAATTTCAAGGTGAAAATATGCTATTTTGAGAGACAGAGTCTTTGATTCAACAAATATGGTGTGAGCCCTGGCCCTGCCACTGAATAAGCCCAGGCTAGTTACCCACTCTCTGAATCTGTTTCCTTATCTTTGAAATGAAAATTGTACTTACTTTGCAAGGGTTGCCATGAGGATTAGAAATAACATATGTAAATACATCTAGCCAGGTCCAAGCACACAGTAAGTTCTCAATACCATTATTATTCGCTAACATTTTATAAGTTCTAGCTATGTGTGTAAGGACTTAACCTAAACTATCTCATTTTATCCTTACCATAGCCCTCTGAGCCAAGTACTGTTACTGATCCTTGTTTATCCAGAACATTAAATTGCTCGTAAGTGGTGGAGTTGGAGTTCACACTCCAGCAGTCTGACACCAGTCTATGGTCCTAACCCTGGACTAGCTTGCCTCTATTGGCAAGTGTTTTTATCCTTGACCAGGGGATTTAATGTGTTAGTCTTTAGTGCTCAGAAACAAAGAAATGGGAGCACATTTTAATTTATACACAGGCACTGTGCTAGACTATTTCAAAACAATTGACTCATATCAGATATTTACATTACAATTCATAACAGTAGCAAAATTACAGTTATGAAGTAGCAACGAAAATAATGTTATGGTTGGGGGTCACCACATGAGGAACTGTATTAAAGGGTCACGGCATTAGGAAGGTTGAGAACCACTGGTTTAACCACTGTCTTTATTACCTCTAAGGATTCATAGTTTTCTAGAAATCACAGATTCATTTTGCAGTATATGTGCAGCTCTTATGTTGCAGGGTTCTATATCGCTGCTCTTTAAAGGCAGATTATCTCAATGTTTACAGAAGAAACAATCAGATGCTAGGTCAACAGATGAAAACTTCGCTTAGGAACTTTCATTTTGAAAAGTTAATGGACGAACGTTAACTTATTCAATAAGTTAAAATACTTTTTTCATTAAAGAGGCTTTTAAAAAAATCCTCACCGGAGGATATGTACGTTGATTTTAGAGATAGAAGGGGAAGTTGAGGGCAGGGGGCAAAGAGAAACAGAAAAATGTCGATCAGTTGTCTCCCATATGCGCCTGACGGGGATTGAACCTGAAACCTAGGTATGTGCCCTGACCAGGAATCAATCGAACCTATAAGCTTTTGATGGGCCGGAAGCCTTCCAACCACCTGAGCCACCCAGCCTGGGCAAGAGGCATTTTTGTGATACTTTTTAAAAGTTTATTGGAAAGAGAGAGGCAGTAGAGGAGGATTATCAGAGAGAAGCAACTTTGAGGGAAGGCTAAAGAGTCTATAACGTATCTCTCATAAATATATAAAATCTAAAATCTTAGAATTGGAAAGAACTTAGAGATCATTTAAGTCTAACCTTGGACTCATGTTATAGAGAAGGAAACCACCCCAGAGAGGGGAAGTGTCTTGTATAAGGATAGCACTCAGATTTCTTAACTCTCAAATGATAATAAATTATTAATTATAAATAACTATATATAACTTGTTTGATAGGATCTTTCGGTAGCAAGCTGCAGAAGAGTCATATTTGTGTCTGTCTTGGGCAGTTCCAGAATCCCCACTCCATGTCTCATCCCTATAATTCAGTGTGGTATGTATTTGACACAGACGTGGTCTGGCAGTGAGCAAACAACATTCATTTTCAATCTTGGGTGTCAGCATAATTTGATATATAACACTGCAGTCAATTGTACCCTGAGAAGCTTTAAAGGATGGTATTCCAAGAATTGGTATTAGTGTGAAAAAATAAGTGTTTTGCTCCTCTTTCACTTTTTCACACATCCACAGTTCTTGGGGGTAAAATCGGGGTAAAACACCAGTGGGCCAAGGGAGGGACGCATTTTAATGGTGGGAAGAGCACATACAAACACCTAGAGGTTTGAGACTTCATAGAGTGTTCAGGATCCTTTGAGAGAGCCAGGCCTACTCTAATCTGGCACCTTGGACTTTAGCTTCAAAACAGTGGGGGCCTGGCTGGTGTGGCTCAGTGGTTGAGCATTGACCCCATGAACCAGGAGGTCACGGTCCAATTCCCTGATCAGAGCACATGCCCAGGTTTCAGGCTTGATCCCCAGTAGGGGGTGTGTAGGAGGCAGCCCATGGATAATTCTCTCTCATCATTGATGTTTCTATCTCTCCCTCTCCCTTCCTCTCTGAAATCAATAATAACTATCTTTTAAAAAGATAGTGGTGAACGATTGAAGGATTTAGAACAGGGTTTAGGGCAGGATTTAAAGCCTGAATATAGTTGCTTTTAAGTATTTTTATCACACAACAACATCTGAATACGTTCTTAAATAAATTCAAATACTAAATCTAAAAGCCAAAGTTCTCCTTTACTAGAACTTACATCCCCACTTTCTCCCCAGAGGTAACCACTGTTCTGTTTGTTGTGTATACATGCATTCAAGATATATCTAGGATTATTTTGCATGTGTGTTTTAAAACAAATATCCTGTCAAGAGATCAATTTGAGGACTAGAGCATGGGGTTAGGCAATTCTGAACAGCCAGCTGGCCATCTGTTTATGTTATTTGGTATTTGCAGAGTATTTTATGGACATTCCAGTTTTTAAGTGAAATTCTCACACAGGGATTGGTGCTGTGGGAACCACCTGGCAGACCCAGCCACGACAGCTGCAAACCCTCACAGCCTTAAACACCAGGTCTGTCTGTGCTGTGGCCTGCCCTGGATCAAAAGTTTGTTCTCTGCAGTTGTGCAATGACAGGACAGCTGAAATTCACAGATATTACATGTTCCTCATTCGGATTAGGGAACAGAAAATGTGCTTGCCATCTACTCTGGAGTAACTGAGGGTCCAAACATGACTGTGGGGTCCTTTTGTAAGGGAAACGAAACATTTTGAGTTCGACCTTTCACATTTTAAAAAGAAGTATATATATAAAACAAAACATAATTACATGGTGAAGTGGTTTTTCATTATCAAGTCAAGTTAAACATTATTATTACCAAACTAATAGAATAAGCATTTCTAATATATTTGGGCATATCTATTAAGGCTCTTAATAAAGTGAGGTCTGGGTATGGGATCTAAAGACTACAGTTTTGGAAATACATATGGATAGATTTATTTATTCTCTCTTTAATTCATTCAATATCTTTTTAGTGCCTATTGTGAGCCTGATCATTTGCTAAGGTATTGGTTGAGTCACTCTGTTTCTTTCCCCCCTTTTCCCTAAATTAAAGCTCCCCACACAGTTGGACAGATAAATAATGTGATGAGCACCCATAATGGGTTTACATACAAACAATGATTTGCCAGTTCATTAAACTAATCCAAAGTTTAAAAATCTTCAATGGGAACATGACCTGCACACCTATGTGGTTGGTGCTTATAATAAAAGGCTGCTTCCTATGACTGACTTGAAATTCCAAAAGAGGGGGTGGGGCAGGAGTGTTGCGAATGTGTTACTATGCTCTTGGGAAATGTTTTTGGGATTCGTCCAAGTTCTACACTGGGACCCAAAGCTCCTGAGAGGGCAGAGGTCATAACTAAGGATGCAATTTACTAGGATTCTCCCCTAATCTAAATCCCATAAACAGTTGCCTGGCGTAAAGGTAAAATCCAAAGGCATTTAAACAGAGTACAAGCTGTTATTCAATCTTATTCTTTCAGCAAATATTTTACTCAGAAAGTCGTGGCAACTGCAACATCTTGCTTAAGAAAAATGATGATAAATATATCAATATTCTGCATTTAAGGGAAAGTGGCGAAGGAGCTGTTCCCAGAAAACCCTCAGAACGTCAGCACAAACCTGGAAAGGGAAATGGGCAGGTTACAGTGGAGGGCTATGGAGGGCGTTTGTAGCTGTGCCAACGGGGGCGGGGGGGGGGGGGAGGTGTGTGGTGTGTATGGGGTGGCAGGGGAGTGTGTGTGTAGTGTGAGCTGCTGTCCCAGTCGGTGTGACTTTGTGAGTGGGCCGATCCTTGTGACCATGCACGTGATCACATGTCCGTGTGTGTGTGTGTGTGTGTGTGTGTGTGGGTGTGTGTGTGTGTGTGAGAGAGAGAGAGAGAGAGAGAGAGAGAGCGCTGGCTGCAGG